ATACCTGCGAGCTTCCTTTTTTTTTTTTTCGTGGGGGAAATCTTCCTGACGCCCCCAGCCCCCCTGGGGAGGGGCCGATGGTAGTGCCGGATTTTTACCGGCTAAAACCGCCACGGTGACCCGCACTGGGCGTAAGGAAGGGCCCTGGGACCTCTAGCGAACAACACCGGGACCTAACCACCCTTGGCGCATAGTACCCCATCACGGGGGAGGGTCTAACCTTTGACAACCCCCCCCCCCCCTCCCCCCGGGCCAACTCCGTCGACGACGGGGGCCACACCCGGCGCCGGCTACTCCTCGGGCCGCATGCAATGTTGACCGGGGCCCCAGCTCCGGATTAAGGGGGTATTCTAGTCTAGAGGCTCGATTTTGAGGTGATTTTACGGTCGTAATAAAAAAAAAACAGTAAATATTTCTATTATCAATTTTTTTATCAGTTTTTTATTGATACTTGAAAAGTATAAAAATATATTTAAAAAAAGTGTCTTCTGGTTGACGAGATTCCAACCCTCCTGGTGATCTGAAACATAAAATGAAGGTTAATTTCTATTAAACAAGGATGTAGAATTATCTGGACGTAGCCGATTTGAAAAAAAAATTTTTTGCACAAAATGGCGTCTTTTTGAAAGAAAAAGTCATTTGTTTGCATCCTTTTTTCAATTTTGGGAATGTTTTAAATATAGTAAAAGAAAAAAATTCCAAAAACCCCTACGTGGATATAATTTTGATAGTATTAAGAAAGTCTGTATCAAATTTCAAGTAAATCGGTGCATTAGAACTTGAGATATCTTGTCAACTGTATCGAAAAAAGTAGTTTCGAGAAAAACCCATTTAAAGTTTGCAGTCTCATTTCGGGCGGTCTGAGTGGTTCAATGGTATGTTATACTTACATTTTTTCAATCAGCCATCCCTGCCTCATACAATGTTCCTTCCTCCACCTCAAAAGCTACATTTTTAGCAGATCTTTCAGCCATACGAGCAGTTCTGCCTTCTTTGGAAGCTTCGGAAGCTCGTATCTCGGAGCGGTTGATACGCCGTTGATCTCGTTTGCTGGCGAATGCATGGCTTTCAGGTCCAATTTTTATTGACATTGTATCCAGAATTTTTAAAACCGGTAAAAAACCTTCATTAAAAATACAGACAGCAATGTGATTTGCTATTTCGATGGTGTCACTTCCAGCATGTATATGTTTAGGTGCAAAAGTCCAGATAAGCGAGTTGAACGATTCATTATTATTCATTATATCTGTCACAATAGGCTTACAGATCCTTCGAGATGCTCGTTTGTCAGGTATATATAGAAAACAAAAGAATTTATACTACCTTCTTTACATTCAGATAGCTGGATACCTATCGCTACTATTGATTCGTTTCCGCCGGACCGGTTTAGTTGGCGCGTCACAAAATTAACTATAACTCCGAAAATAATTCGAATTTCCGTAAATCCTCTTAGAGGCTTATTCTTAAAGGTCTAAACTTTGGAAATATGAAAACAACAAAATATCGATTTTTTCGAAATTCTAGACTAGAATACCCCCTTAAGTCAAGCTCAGAGACAGGCGTAGCCCGCGAGTTATTATCCATACTATTAGCAACACTTACCGACAATGAATGAGCGCCTAGGTGGCCCTAATTTACCACGCCACTCCGGGTAGCATCAGAAGACTCACCCACGGTTAGCGTCTCAGCTAATCTTTGAATGTTAGCCGCAGATAATGCTGGACCAGAACGCTTAACGGGATTAGTCCGACCATAAAGGTCAATCCTCTTGATATTAGCACGTTTCCCCCTCTTCGGGGGTGCCAGTTTCAATAAGGTGAATAAAGTAAATGAAAATTAATAAAAAACTAACGATTATTTAACTTAAATGATAAGAAAACAAGAACTGATAAGGAAAATATTAACAGAAGAGTAATTTACTGAAGAGAAACAGAAAATAGAAGCACAGAAGATAGTAATACAATAAACGCACAAACTCGGAACTCAGAGAGCAAATAAACACACCCGTCACCGACGAGCGTCACGAGACGAATCGAATCGAAGTGAGTTCGCTCTATTTTTTTTTTTTTTTACATTTTTGGCAATAAGTAGAGAAATGGTTGGTAGCGTCGTCCCGCAGATTCAAACCATTTTCTCATTTGTTGTCTCTGACAGCGAAGGCCCTCTCACCGACAGAACACAAAGTTACAAGGTGTTACCGGCATAAGATGATTTTACGGCGAGGAGGAGTGTGCGGAAAAATTTTCAAAAAAACCGCAAAACAGGAACTAAACAGAACATGATTGGATAAAAAATAAAGGTGAGGTTAAGAACACTATTTACAGGAGGGTGCATGGACGAGTGCACCATGTACTGCGGAGCTACACATGTGAACTAAAGGCGAAGTGCGAGAGTCCGTAAGAAGTTTCAAACGAATTTAAAACAGACATGGATATTAGACGCCAAGGCTACATTCTCATCATTGGGAACGGAACCTTAATTTTGAAGGGTATGGCATCTCTGCGAAAAGAATGAGTGGATCTAACCAGGAGGTTTGGATGATCATCAACATTATAGTTGGTGATCATATTAGAAACGTAGTCACCAAGAGTTGGCATGGAAGCCATTTCGTGCAGGGCTACGGTGGAGAAGCGCCGCGGTTTATTTAAAATCATCTTTAGGATTTTGTTTTGAACAGTCTGGCATTTTTTCTGAGTACTCTTGGATATGAGGTTCCACCAAATCTGCGCACCGTAGGTTAAAACCGGCCTAATGCACATCTTATAAATATTAAGCTTGATTGACACTTGGAGGGGGGATTTATGACAGATATGAGGGGTTAAGAAGCCAGCCACTTTGATCGTTTTAATGATGCGGTTATTAACCGCTGCCAACCAATTTAGTCTTTGGTCAAGGACAACCCCCAAGTAGCGGACTTCAGGTGACCATGGAATAATATGATTTTCAACAGAAAGCGCAGTGTTTCGTTTGCCAGCACTCAGCTTGAAGCGCCGTAATTTTATAGTTAACATTTTCAGTGTTTACGATACGAGGCAAGGCCCCACGAACTTTAGATGGATCGAGTGTACTATTTGTACGTGAAGTCGATGGTGCTTTGTTTACTAATATAGGATCGGCAAATTGGAATGCCGCTAACACCGAAAATCTATTGGACACATGTACAGAAGGAACAACATCAACTTCCATATTGTTGTCAATGGTTGAATTTTCCACGTTTACAAGTGATGTGGAAATTCCAGAAGGACTCCCCACATTATAAATTTTATTAGATGGAGCTGGAGGAGGCAAGATATCACTCTTACGCTTGAACGTGCCACGCAATGATTTTCTACCAGCTCTACCCTTAGATTTAGAAGTGGAGGCAACTGCTGCAGCAGAAGAATTGAAATCATCGGACTCCACATGTTGTTCCGACCGAGCCGGATTCAAGTCAAGCTGCTTGGAAGACATGACCCTCGACAATGAATTTATTTTGTCGATAACGTTAGAGCTTATCTTCTCAGAGGTGATAGCAGACCTCAGTTGCAGATAGAGTTCCGGAGGATCGTCCGGATTATCAATGGTCTTGGACCGAACCGAAACTAAATCACTGACCGTTACATCGGCAAGGCGACGGATGTTGTCCGCAGTAAGTGCGGGTCCAGACCTTAAACAGGGGCGGCCAACCGGTGGAACCAGACTGTTAAATAACGCACTTAAGAATAATAAAAAGAAAAGAAAAGAACTACAAATATAAGAAACTGAGAAAACAAAATATATACACAGCACTATATTAAGCAATATACTAGAATTCAATTGAACGCAAAAGACGGAAAGTAAACACAGAGTGAAGCAGCAACACGTCTGCTCACGACCGCTGCTCAAAGCAAACTCCAAATCGAAGTGAGCTCGCTCTGCTCGGCACGCCTGCATTTATACCTGGAAACTGCTGACGTAGCAGTTTTTTCTATACGTACTTTTACTACTGGAAGTGTTTAGACTTTGAACTGTGCGTACGTGACTCCGCGTGTATCGCTATCTCTTTCTACGCGCTGTTGCTATCTCTTTCTATTTATGCGCGCTCTATGTCGATCTTTTATCGACGCGACAATTATCGATCTATTTTAGTAAGTAGAATTTTTTGTTAATCATAAATATTAATAAATACAAGAATCTTTTTAACTTATTAAATGTGAATATAATTGTTAGCGTAAATCAGAAGAGTACAAAAATAAATGGATAGATTGTTACAAAATTAATTATGTAAAAACGAAAAAAAAAAAATGTTTTCATAAATAGTAATAATTAATTTTTTTTTTATTAATCTCCTTTTTGTTATTATTCCTCTTCTTGTGGGATGTTACAGCCTTCCCCCTGTGTTGGTCTCTTGTCCTCAAGAGACTTTTGTGCAGATCTTCGTTTTTGGCCGATATAGTACTGGCATTTTTCTTCGTCATTTCTGGGGGATGCGGCCAATCTTCCAAAATATTTGAGGATCCTTGCATGTTTCCTTCTTGGATCAGTTTTGTTCAGTTTCTTAAAAATTTTCCAGTCTGGCTCCGGAATCTCTATGGGGGTTAACCTCCATGGTGTAGCTTCTTCTTTGGGTTGTGTTGGAGCCTTTGGAGAATATTCGGAATAATTAGTAAAATTACAGAATAAAGAAAAAAATGTATTTATACCTCGTTGAGTTGCTACAGGGCTTTTCTTAAGCGTTTTAACTGTTGGCGTTTGCCAGCACGACGAACCATTATCGCAGTTAGTTAAAATTTTTAAAAACAAATATGGCGTTTCCTTTTTGGCAAGTTCTTCCTTTAATTTTTGTAACTGAGTACAATATTTATCTGAATTTATAGTATCACCGCTTCGTAACAGCTCAAAATATAAAATTCCTTTATAATCCCACCGTACACACAACAGAACTTTACGGGGATGCAAGCCTGGTTTTGCACATCGTTCAGGTGTTTGATTTCTCTGAGACCAGCTTCGTTTCCGGTCAGGATTATCGTATAATATCCACTTCTCATCCCCAGTTACCAAGCGTTTAAGAAATGCTTCATTTTTGTTGCGTGCAAATAATGATATGCACGTTGTCATGCGATCAAGCCGGTTTCGTTCCGTAAGTTAATGGGGCACCCAAACGTTCAGTTTTGATACCATTCCCAACTTTTTTAAATGTCTATGAATTGTTGTTTTAGGTATTTCTAGAATGTTTGACATCTCCTGAACTGATAAATTTCGCGATTGCTCTACAAGGTCTTGAATTTTGTTTTCCTGTGTCTGAGAAGGACGCCCAGAACGTTCCTCATCTTCTAAACAAAAATTCCCATCTTTAAAACGTTTAAACCATTTTCTACAGGTACGACATGAAAGAGCACTTTCTCCGTAAACAGCACATATATTGTTTGTCGCAATTGTTACTGAATTTCCTTTTCGAAATTCATATAACATTAGATGTCGGAAATGAATACGCATTTCACTCATAATTTTTCACTGTTAAAAATCAATGCGTTCACTATTTCACGATCCTATACCCACGAAAATCTCTTTTAGACTGCCCTCGAACAGCTAAACTGAAGTGCATTGGTCTCTTATCGCCTTGTGATAATAAACCGAGGCGTCAAATGTATATATACAAAAGTCGGCACGAATTTATGGGATGACCTAATACTACATTGAATTCTATATATGCCTACGTGTCTCTGGCGGTGTATGGGTCAGCATGCAGTCGTCGACCGAAAAATCAGTCTACATATATAGACATATACCTGACAGACTGTCAGACAGTAACTAGCCAATGTAAACGTTACTGCAAGTGAGATCGCGACAGTTCCCATGCGCCCGCAGCAATTTGTTGCGACAGCCGATTACTTGCAGGTCCAAACAGCTCGCCGAAACTTCTCGCACAATAGGACTAGTTCCTAATATCTCGCGCTCACAGTGACACTTTCCTGTTTTGTCCACAAGTAATTTTACATTTCCTTCTGTTACTGTGTAATAAAAGAGCTGAAATAAGTTACTAATGACTCTTATAAGGTTGATGCAACTTTAATATGAGAGGAAGAGAACTCGAAGAAGTCTTGCAGAAGATACTTGTAATGCCGTTTACACTAGCAAGCAACTTCCCGCAATAAGTATCGACAGAAATGTGTCGCGCGGGAGACTGTCAGAGAATACTGTCGCAACTTCTTGCAGGACTGTATAGACAGGGTAGTTTGACCTGTTCCGAGATTTCTCGCCAGTTTAGTTTCAAACACCATGCCGCGCAGACGTGAACGTGTAGCAGCAGCAATAATGCTATTATTAAATAAAAAGAAAAAAAGATCTGTTTGGGTCCGACAATGGATTTCAAGACGACCTGAATTCGGTTGCTTCCATAATTTATTAAGAGAACTTCAAATAGAAGACGAACAACAATATTTTAATTTTATTCGTATGACTGCTGTGGATGTGGAAATTTTATTTAAGATGAATGCTGAATGCGGGAAGCAGCACCGATAGCGTCGCCATTCATCCCCACCGCTGAGGTATGAAGGTATTCCCACTACTACAGTCCGCGACACTTGATTAAACGCAACGATATTTTCGTTGTATTTTTGTTTAATGATGTTCAAACTAATATATTTTATTTTTCTAGTATAATAGGTCTAATTTAATGAAAATTTACACGTTTACTTTGAGAAGTTAGTTATTTAGTATAAAAATATTCTCGCTTATAATAAAAGATAGGAATATTCTTGCGACATTTGAATAAACGCACTGTAATTAGAACATAAAAACATACGATATTTTGGCAATAATTATTTTTATTAATACTTAGTATATCCACCATTGTTATTTATAATCTGGAATATGCGATTCGGTAGTGATTTATACAAAGGGTATAGCAGGATAAGATAGTCAAAAGTGCCCTTGAGCCGAATTTGCTTCGCAATGCACCATTCGATAGCATATCCCAAAAAACCATGGTACACCAAGTTTCAACCCTGTACCTCAACCGGGAGGGTAGTTACAGGGTAAGAAAGAAAAAGTAGTTTTTGCCATATTTTCCCTATTAAATGGCATTCAAAAAATCTGAAAAAATTCTAGAATATTCTAGCCATGTTTCTTTATGATTGTGAATTTTCTCAGATTTTTCGGTTGCAAATCCTAGGCGTGAAAAATCAAAAACGCAAAAAAAAGTCGAAAAATAGAGATTTCGGGTAGAAGCTTTCGAGACACTAGATTTTTACTTTTACAGTAGTTAGATATTAGCATGACTGGTGTCCTCAATTTTTTTCAGATTTTTCATTCTGGTGCGTCAAACCGAAAAAAATCAAAAACCGATATTTTCGATATATTTCGTGCGATAACATGAGAAATACTTTCAATTTCTACATTTCCTTTACACACTTAGTGCATTATGTGATTTCGAACATTTTTGCACTGGATGCAGTAAAATCTGAATGGAGAGAGTGAAGTTATTATAAATAATTGAAAATTACGCACCTTATCCTCTAAAATATTAGAAACTTTTTCAACGTCGCCGATGGATAAGTCGGTAAGGTGTCCGACTATGGAACCGCTGGAAACTTTTTTGTCACGAGTTCGCGCCCCATGAATGTACAATTCTATTTTTTGTCATAAAACAATTTTATTTTAAATTATTAATCACATAAGAATACACAATAATCATTTAATAACGTATGAAAATAATTTTGAAATATTTTATTATTAAGTATACATAAAAATCAGTGGTACACAACCGACTCTTTGGCTATATGTACAATTAAGGTAAAATATACATATCTGTATTGATTTCAATATCCATCATAAACCAACAACCACACAACTTTTCAATTAACAAAATATTGGGAGCTATTCGTAATTAGAACAGTACGAAATCAGAAAATCGGTAGTGCACCACTTATTTTTATGTATACTTAATAATAAAATATTTCAAAATTATTTTCATACGTTATTAAATGATTATTGTGTATTCTTATGTGATTAATAATTTTAAAAAAAATTGTTTTATGACAAAAAATAGAATTGTACATTCATGGGGCGCGAACTCGTGACAAAAAAGTTTCCAGCGGTTCCATAGTCGGACACCTTACCGACTTATCCATCGGCGACGTTGAAAAAGTTTCTAATATTTTAGAGGATAAGGTGCGTAATTTTCAATTATTTATAATAACTTCACTCTCTCCATTCAGATTTTACTGCATCCAGTGCAAAAATGTTCGAAATCACATAATGCACTAAGTGTGTAAAGGAAATGTAGAAATTGAAAGTATTTCTCATGTTATCGCACGAAATATGTCGAAAATATCGGTGTTTGATTTTTTTCGGTTTGACGCACCAGAATGAAAAATCTGAAAAAAATTGAGGACACCAGTCATGCTAATATCTAACTACTGTAAAAGTAAAAATCTAGTGTCTCGAAAGCTTCTACCCGAAATCTCTATTTTTCGACTTTTTTTTGCGTTTTTGATTTTTCACGCCTAGGATTTGCAACCGAAAAATCTGAGAAAATTCACAATCATAAAGAAACATGGCTAGAATATTCTAGAATTTTTTTAGATTTTTTGAATGCCATTAAATAGGGAAAATATGGCAAAAACTACTTTTTCTTTCTTACCCTGTAACTACCCTCCCGGTTGAGGTACAGGGTTGAAACTTGGTGTATCATGGTTTTTTGGGATATGCTATCGAATGGTGCATTGCGAAGCAAATTCGGCTCAAGGGCACTTTTGACCATCTTATCCTGCTATACCCTTTTCTATATAATTAAGCGGTATGTCGTTCCATTCCTTTTCAATAGCGTTTATGAGCTCTTCTTGGGTAGAAAATTGTCTATTATTCATATATACCTTCCTTGATAAGTATGCCCAAACATTTTCGATTATATTTATATCGGGTGATAGTGCTGGCCATTGTAAACAGGTTATTTCCTGTTCTTCAAACCAGCTTTTAATTAGCTTCGCAGTATGTATTGCGGCGTTATCCTATTGAAAAATCCATTCGTCGTCTCTTACAATGTCAAAAATCCTAATTTTTGCTGTTTTTAATATCTCTAAATATTTTTTTGAATCTTGTCGCCCTTTCATGACTTTTAAATCTACGACGCCTTTGGAACTTATGGCTCCCCAAATCATTACTGAGCCTCCTCCGTGTTGTCTACGTGAAAAAATCTTTTCTTCCTTCCTTAAGTCGTGATAATAATATGAGTACCCATCTGGACCATCTAAGTTAAATTTCTTTTCGTCAGAAAAGATTACTTTTTGCCATCGTGTCGTCCAATTCATATGTGTCCTAGCAAACTCGAGCCTATTCTTTTTATGGTGATCCTTCAAACATGGTTTCTTCTTCAAACATTTTCTTTGAATAGTAGGTACCTTTTTCAAATATCTTTGTACAGTTCGTATACTAGCTGAAACATTAGCTTTTTCAGCAATCTGCCTTGCACTAGAAGTGGAATTTGATGCGATACATAAAACCAACCTTTTGTCTCTTGGCGATAAAGCTTCTTTAGTTCTGCCCTTGTACAATTTACCGTAATTTTCACTATTTTTCAAGTATGACCGTATAACAAATTCACTTCTATTTAATCTTCTTGCAATCTCTCTGTTGGAATAGCCTTCTTCTTTTAACACCTGAACTTTTCCAATTTCTGTACAGTTTAATTGTTTCGCACAACCCATTGTTACCTTTTTCCACAAATCTTTAACTTCTTTTAACAATACAATATGTCGGTTACTAAGGAAACAGATTAAGACAAAAGAAACTCAAAAAACAGTACAGATATAATGAAGGAACGAAGCGCGTTTATTCAAATGTCGCAAGAGTATCCGTACTTTTTCTTAAGATAGCGAATATTTTTATATTAAATAAATAACTGCACAAACGAAATGTGTAAACTTTCATTAAATTGGACCTATTATCTTGGAAAATTACAATATGTATATTTGAACATCATTAAATGAGAATACAGCGAAAATATCGTTGCGTTTAATCAAGTGTCGCGGACTGTATGTCAACACTGCAGCGGTGGAGATTAGCAGTTCTGCTGAACTGTTCTGCGCTACGATTTACACAAACGAAATAAACAATATTTTATACATTTTCCGATGCAACAGCGTAATAAAACTGAGCTTATGTCCTTCGCAAGGTTATAAGGAACACGTCTAAAAAAATCGGATCAAAATCGAAGCAGTAGATTTGGAGATTACCCTGCACAAACAAAATGCTTACAACTTTATATATTAGTATAGATATAGATTTGCAAAGCGTGTATCTAAAAATAAAAAACGGCAAGAAAGGTAAGTTATATTTTATATTATAGATTTGCATGAAGTCATTATTTTTCGATGCAGTAATATCATGGTATTTTATAATATGTAATATGTACTCTCTTTTCATCATTACAATCGATAAGCATATCGTCTATACGCAAGATAAGAATGATA